CAACGGAAGTACTGTTAAAGTAAAAGTGGTGTCTCCCTCTCTTTCTCCCTGTTCAAGAAATTCCGCCGACGAGTGCAGGAGTCCACCAAGGTGCTGAGGGAGCTGGAGATCTCTCTGAGGACCAATCACATCGGGTGAGCATGCCACTTCCTGTTCCTCTCGCCCAATCGGCAGCCAGCCCATCGGTACCGTGATGAAGAAACTGTCCTTCCCAATTCCCAAGTGACTGATTAAACTGCGAGTTTTGGCATCTGTTGCTCGTGTCATTATGCTCATATTTTTTGCTTGTGTTTTTGCGTTCTTATGATACCACTAGCGGCACAGTAGTATTACAGTTAGCATCTGTCTGGAGCTTGCATGTTATCCCCATGGGCAGTGTGAGCTTTCTGTCTGCTCTGGTTTCCTCACAAAGCACAGGATGTCCAGGTTGGTCAAGATGTTTAGATCATTCCTTGTATGAGTGCAGGTGTGTGGGTACTCTGTGATGGACTGGCGTCCCACCTGAGGGGTACCTGCCATCTGCTGGGTTAGTCTCCTGCTCACTGCACTGCACGAACTGTATTGGACTGAAAGTTTATGAAAATTGATGGATAACCAATATACCAGATACTTATCATGAACAGTGTAGATAACCAACTGTGCCAGACAGCTGCACCCTTCTTTGTGACAAGATCGTGATGTGCAAAACACGAAAGTGAGCTGGGTGTTGTTTGTGAGTTTCTCTGCCCTCCGCGCTGCTCAGCGGCGAGATTGGAATAGTTTGTCGGACACTTACTCCATTGTGCTGGACTTGCACAGCCGGAGCTGGGAAAGGAGCAGGAAAGTCTCTGGGCGGGTCTGAAATTGGCACCGGCTCCTGGAGAAGCCAGCTTTCCTGTGTGTGTGAGTGTGTGTCCGAGCTTCTGGCTCAGGCAGAAGGCCACGCCCAGGGGTGTGGACAGCGAGGGGCCAGAGCACCGGCCTGTTGCCCGACTGCGTGACGTGGGGGAGGGAAATGAATCTGGGAAATGCTATTGTGCGTTTCACTCCCTCTTCCCCTGTCTCTCGGACTGGCCAGGGGGGAAAGAGAACGCCCATTCTGGGTCCCTGCGATGGGCCCCCGGTGCCAGGCTTTGCCCTTTCTCCAGAGCGGTGCTATTGTGCGGCCGCCCACCAGCCGCTTGCCCGGGCAGAGGGCCTGGCTGGGCATCAGGAGCAGCAGACAATGGAGCCAGTGGTCAGCAGCCTCAGAGCTCTTCTCTGGCTCGCTAACCCCACATCTACTGGCCCAACACCCCACACACACACACACACATGCGAGAGAGAGATAGCGCCCTTCTTCTGGGGCCAGGCGAACGCCAGGCCGGCCGTGTCTGAGCTGTGTGCCCCCTCAGGCCTGTCCGGGGTTCGACCCGACTGGGCTTTCTCTCCCGAGTCCCCCCTTTTCTGTAACCAGGGCGCAGGACAAAGCAGGGGTCAGTTCAGGTCTCATTCCAAGCAAGAGAACACAAGCTGCATAGCCTGATTTCAGTAGGAACAAACGAGAGGCGTTCATCCAGCCCGTCCAGTCGTTAGTAGCTAATTCATTCCAGGATCTCATCCAAGTATTTCTTGAAAGAATACTTGGAGGGTATTGGCTTCAACGACGTGGGTGAGTGGCTTGTTCCACACTTATCTATTCATACTTCTATGACTTCCCACAATATTCCAGATGAAGCTTTAGCAGAGCGTTTTAAATCCCTGGATTTAAATTCTACACTGTTTTTCCCAAACATCTCGTTCCCAGCGGCGTCTAGAAGATGTAAAGGATGTGCCGAACAAACTCCTCAGTCCTTTACGGGAGTAGGATGCTCTGCTCCGCTCCGGAGTCTCTCAGCCTGACTGTGTGTGAAAGTTGTGTGCTGGGCGATCAGTCAGGGTCGGGCCCTGTCCGATAGCCGGCTGGCCACGGCTCCGCTGTCCTCGGTTCGGGCCCGAGGCTGGGCAGCTGGGCCCCCGGGGGCCTTGAATCCCAGGGTCGGCACCTCGCAGGTCCTACAGGACGGCGGCCGTCTCCATCACCCCGGCCGCTCGGACTTGTGGGACGTGGCCTGCCGACCACAGCAGCAGGAATGAGGTCCCGGACGGACGCACCGAAATCCCACTCGCAGGCCTCCTCCTCCTCCTCCTCCTCCTCCTCCTCCCTGCTTCTGCTCGTGGAGGTTTTGGAAGGCTCCTGGGCAGGAATGAAGCCGCTGGCTGTTTGTACGCAGTGTCCGAACTTTGAACCCTAGCGGTTTGTTATTCCTAAGCATGCCAGGAGAACCCAAAATAGCATCTGGACAGACAGGAAAAGAGGGGGGAGAGCAGAGGGGCTGGGAGGGGGGGTAGTGGTAGACAGGAAATGGATGATTTGAGCAGACCCCTCCCCCCTCGCTCTCAGGGAAATGCGACATTGTCTGCGGAGCGGAGGGGTGTCCATGTTTATCCTGCAGTCCTGGCGGGAGACTGGCCTTGCAGCAGCCTGATGCTGCCCGCATCACGAGGAGAGCATCTCGGGAAATTAGCTTTGAAATCTGGTCCTCAGGGGCCCCAGGGCTAGAAAGACAATAAATATGGAGCCCCAGAGAGGCAAATACATGATCTATATATCCACCCCGAACATTTCTGGAATTACCAGAAACTAAAGAGAAACTGGCCTTCTTCTTCTTTAACTAAGTGCCTCCCACATTCTTTCCAAGCTCGTGATGGGAATTAAAGCATTTGCTTTTAAGCGTTGGAGCTCAGAACAGTAAAGTAATGGTTTACTGTAATGTGTTCTCACCACCCAGCTGCCAGGGCTGTGCGGAACGTTTCTTGGGGGTCACTGACTGTGCTGGGGATGCTGCTGGGCGACTCTAAGGACCGATATAGCGCCTTGCCAGCGGAGTGGGAAGGGCCTGGCGACCAGAGCCAGTGAGACACCCGAGGGGTCTTCTCAAAGTGTAAATCGTGGACCAGTGTCCACGCTCTTTCGGTATCACGCTCCTTTTAAGAAGAAAACTGACAGATATGTAGTTTTTAAAATAAAATTAACATATTAAATTGGTGAAAGAAATTAGCAGCCCAGGCCCATGGCTTCCTGCTTCTGGTGAATCCAACACACTGAACCCAAGCAGCTGCTCAGGAAGTAGAACTGCAGTTGCATTTGGGACAAGGGTTGGAGGTTCTGCTGTACACAAAGAGGTGTGGGTGTCTGGAACAGGCTACTCATGCTGTGTTGTGGGAATCTGCTTCACTGGGAGTTTACTTAGCGTGGACTTATCATCTCTCCCCCGCGTGCGTTTCTAAACTCGGCGCTGTCTGAAGCTTTCTCCCGGCGCTGCGTGTCCGAGCAGGACCATTTTTCAGAGGGCAGTGCAGGGAGCCCGCCAGCGGCAGGTGTCGGAGGGGTCGGCGGGGCTTCTGCCAGGTGATGGTGGGATGTCAGCCACCAGAGTGGCGCCTTCCGGCATCAGGGCTAGAGGAGGCCACAGTGGGAGCGTCACACATGCTCCATGTCCGTGTCTGAGACTGACCAAGCCCGGCGCCCATGTGTGTGTCTCACAGGTGGGTGCGGGAGTTCCTCAACGATGAGAACAAGGGCCTGGACGTGCTGGTGGAGTACCTGTCCTTCGCCCAGTGTGCCGTCATGTGAGTATGGCTGCTGGTCACCTGTCGCACACCGTGTGCAGTGCTCGCAGGCCTTCTGCACACCCCCTTGTGGAGGAGCAGAGGAGAGTCACCCACACCTGCCCCTGGGACCTCTCTGCTCATACTGTCCCAAGCGGAGCCGAGGATCGGCAAGGGTCTGAAGGAAAGGGCTGATGGGACTGTTTTTTTGGCACAATTTCAGATCAGTAAAGCGCAAGGCATTCTGTTAATACGCTGGTCAAGCTCAGCCTGTTGCACAGAACAGTAAAGTAATGGTTCTGGAAGAAGGTTTACAGTAAAGTAATGGTTCTGGAAGAAGGTTTACAGTAAAGTAATGGTGCTGGAAGAAGGTTTACAGTAAAGTAATGGTGCTGGAAGAAGGGTTACCCGGACACCCGCACATGAGCAGATGAATGAGCCAGGCTTTTTGCTCTCCGAAGTACAGGACAGTCCAGGCCTTTTGAGATCAGATGCCTGTGCAGCCCAGACAGTCCTGCAGTGTTTCAGGTCGGCCAATGCAGGGGTGCACCACCCCCTGCAGGACAGGCTGGAGAAGCCCTGTCCTCGTTCCAGCCAGATCTGAGCTGTGACTCAGCTGCAGCAGTGGGATCATGTGAAGTCCTGTGCTCATGTCTGCTGTGTGTAACCCACATGTTCCCAGAGGCGTGATGACCATTAGTCATTGTGATGTGGAATGGTAACTTGGTACGATCTGATGTCTTTGTGCAGCTGACTTTCGCCCATTTGTTACAGGACCTGTCAGTCACAGGACCGCGTGGATGTGCTTGAATGCCTCGCTGCCTGCCTGGCAGTCCCCCTGCTGCAGTGGCTTGTGCTGTACTGTACCATGCCATGCTGTACCCTTATCCCAGCCCTCCCTGTGCTGTGCTGTGGAGCTAACCCCATCTGTCTGTCTGTCTGTCTGTCGTGTCTGTCTGTCTGTCTGTCTGTGATGCAGGTTTGATTTTGAGAATCTGGAGAATGGGGAGGACGGGGTGTTAGACAAGGCCAAGTCCTGGAGCAGGTCTATCGAGGATCTGCACCAGAGCTCTGCCCAGGCTTTCAGCAGCAGCAGTCTGGCTCGCTCTGCCCGCCAGTCTGTGCTCCGGTATGTGCTCCGCCTGCTGCTCGAGCGCGGGAGTGCAGCGCCCAGCCAGGGCAGGGGGGGGGGAGCTCTCGGCTTGGTGCAGGTCGAGGGCGATGCCTGCGTGGGCAGGTGTCCCACACTCGGGACCGGGCGAACAGGACCTCGGTGGGTTACCGGATTCTGCTGAGGGCACAGGCCTTGCATGAGCGAAACTGCCCCTGGTGGTGCAGGAGGTGGCGGAGGGACACGGTGAGACATGATGTGGCCGGCAGGGGTGGCAGCTCTCCTCCAGGCTGTGCCAACTCTCCAGTAGGGCCCCATGGTCAAAGAATTGCTGTGGCGGGAACACATCTTTACAAGGAAGGGCTCACTGGGCTTATCCCTCTGCTGGTGCAATGGTGCCAGTGTTCCAGTCCGGTTTTAAAGAGATGCACGGTTCTGCATTAAAAGCCTGTTTTAGTTGGCAGTCATATAGCAAGTGTGATGCTGTTTTTGCGGTGCTTAAGACTTCAGCATTGTGCATTCCCATTGCTCATTGCTCTTGCACCCTGGTATTGGCATTAAAATTGGAACAAGTCAAATATCCTCCTCTGCCCCAGTAACATCACGGCCCCCTCACCTCCTTAATCTGACGATCCACTCTCCCCGCCCCTGGGGCCAAGGCTCTGCAGAATCCGGGGGTACCCCCCCCCGTGCGCTCTGACCGTTCCGGGGTAGCAGAAGCAGCTGCACAGGTCCCCGCGCCTCGCAGGTCAGGGCCGGGGCAGCTGCTGTGCAGGTGTGGGACCCCTGGCTCGGGAGCAGCCGCCTCCTGCGCTCCGCTAACGCGTGACTCTAATCCGAGAGATGCTCTGGCCTGTGCTTGACTGCACTGGAATGTGCGCTGTGTTTCTGGCGGGGTAGGTAAGTTCTCCTCCCTTTCTCTTGTTGCCGTGTTGTGATCATTAGACTTGATTAAACTGACTCAGTCTGAGCATTGGCATTTAGTCAAAAGAGAGACGGGGGGGGTCATGTTTCAAAATTCGTTAAGAAAAATGAATTTACATGCTATCGAATTCAGCTTCGGATGTGGCTTCCAGATGACTTTATGAAGTCTTTGCTTGCTATGTGGCTCAGCGGAGCGTTTCAGCAATGATGATGTCCGGGTAGCGGAGGTCCCGTCAGCTCTTGGCAGGGGTCGCTGTGCAGCGCGAGCAGGGAGAGCCTCTTAAAGCCTCAGGCTTTGACAGAGCAGCGCCAAGCACATGATGAGAGCCACAAGGAGGCTCTCGAGAACCTCTTGGACGTCTGGCCCGAGTCGCTGGCCGGGAGAGAGTCGCACCGCACCAGCGCCCCCCTGTGGACAGAGTGCAGCAGGTGCCCTGGCCCTGGCCGCGGGTGTGGGATGGCCCGAGGTGACACGTCTCGGACAGGGGGGGCGGCTGGCTTGGCGGTGGTGGGGTCCTAGTGGCAAGAGGACGTCGTTGGGCCCATCCTGCTCGTTTGGTCGCTTCGTCAATGGGGTGATCGGATTGGATCTGAGCCACTTGAAGAATCCCGCTGTCGCAGGAGGGCCACCCCTGCTGTCTGACTGAATGGAAGGCATGTCGCGCTTTTAGTGTGAACACCCCCACCATCACCCCAGCCCCGCAGAGCGAGCGGCGCCCAGCCCGCGGGTTTGGAGAGAGCTTGCAGTGGAGGTGAACTGGCGAGGCGCCGGGAGGTTCAGGAATGAAAGCGGCGCGCGCTTCCGATGCGTCCCGAGCACCTCCGAGTCGCTCCCCCCTCCCTCCCCGTGGACAGCCTGCTGTCGGGGGCTCCCGCTTCGATCTGTGCAGGAGCCATGGCCCCCGAACGAACAGGGGGAGCAGGCTGGATTCCCAGCAGCCAAGCTTGGGACCCCTGCTCCGTCGGCCGACGGAGTCTCGGGGCGCCCAGGTGTTCACGTGCTCCCCGCGGCAGCAGCTTGGTGCACTCGTGCGAGGAACCTGTCCCCGTCAAACCACATCCGCCCCCCCCAGTCACGTCTGTCTGCTGCTGCCGGGGACGCGCTGGGGCTGCGGGCAGGAAGTGGTGTCTGTTTCAGAGAAACGGCTGCTGAGCGCGGAGCCGGGCTGCAGCAGCCTGCCTGGCTCTTGTGCTCGCTTGGCTCTCGCTGAGCTTTCAGCTCTCTGACAGGGGAGCGCTGAGCATCAGCATCGCCTGTTTCCTGTCGGGTCACGTCTGGGCCGCTGCACTGCCTGGCGGGGTCTGCCTCCGCGCGCTGCTTTTCCTCCCGGGCTTCTGAAAGCATTGCTGATGGTGGGCGCTGTTTGGTGGAGAGCCGGGGGCTGATCTGGCCTCCTTTCAGGCTCTGATGCCCAGTATCGTTCATCCAGCCCGTCCTGTTCCCTCCGATCTGCAGCCCTAAGATTGTCAGCAGCCGTTTGCAAGGCAGGCGAATGTCATTCGAGGAGCTGGTACCTTCGCAGTGGTATTGAGCCAGAAACCCTGCTCTTAAGCACCGCTGGGGTTATTTTCCTGTTTGCTGAATGGTGGCTGCAGTCCCTGGCTGTGTAATATGCTGTTGCGAGCCACCTGCAGGTCATTAGGTTTTGATCTTAATGAAAGCAGCTGAGAAAGCTGGTAAATGGGCCTCAGTCCAGTAGCCTGGGACCCACTTTGTGTCTACAGGAAGCTCTTTTCTGTGACAATGAGGCAGGAGCCTTCTGATTCACATGCAAATGAAGTCACTCTGCATGTTTTAGACCTAGCTCATCAGGTGACTCGCCAGCTTGTCCCAGTCCCAGCAGTAATTTAAACTTCCAGTCTTTCAATGTTTGAGTTGAACTCATTGCTGACCTTGGAGAGCAGCAGCGTGGTAGACTTCCTTGTAGCCTCTTATTCACTACAACTGGAGATGTGTCTGACCCAGTCGGGCAGATGCACACAGGGCTCTGGAGTAGGTGTCAAGTCAGACCAATCAGCATGGGAGAGCAGAGTCAGGCGTAGGATGTTGCTGTTTTTCATCTCGTGCTTGAACTTGGGTTTCAAAATAGAACTCACGACTCCATCTGTTGGCTCTTTTTTGTCAAGCCTTTAAAATGTGAGGAACTCACTGCAGTTAGAAAACCTGTAGCACTCTAGGTCTACGGGTTTAACAATGAGGGAACCTCTTTGCTGTTTTTGCATTTGATCAAATAGAAAGAGGACAATATTGATGCTGCTTGAGTTACAGTGCAGAAACCCCATTGCTGTTAATAGACTTGCAGTGTTAGTCGAGTACGTATTGACCAGTGTTTCCAACCATACTGCCAAGGTAGGTAGATTGGTAAAAAGCAAACGGTGAGCATGAAAGACCCTGTCCATACTGCATTATTAGTGTGTAATACCCACTCTCTTGTGTGTAATATGCACTGTCTGGTCTCCTTGCAGCTATAACACACTGTCCAACAGCAAGACCATCAAGAACTCCCGGCTGGTCAGCCAGAAGGACGACGTACACGTCTGCATCATGTGCCTGCGAGCGGTCATGAACTATCAGGTCAGCAGAGGATCGTGTTGTCTGCACTGTCCACACGACTGACACGGGACCACTCAGAACTTCCACTGCAGGAGATTGATGAACAGTCTATAGCAGTGTGATCCATTCCTGGCTTTACAAGCTTTGTGGTCTTGCTGGGGCTGGTCTGATGACGGACACAAGCTTTGTATGTTAACGCAGTGGTGAGAGAAATGCCCTGCTTGCCTGCTTGTGTTTCTGCTCATTTGGTTTAGGCACAAGCCCCCTCTAGTGGCTGCTTCTGTACTTGCATGCAGGAATCATTAGTGCCATTTGAAAGTAAGGCCCTGAACCCCTCAACAAAATAATAATAATAATAATAATAATAATACACTTATAAAGCTCTTTTCTGGAAACTCCACTTGAAGCGCTTTACAAATAATGGGGACTCCCCTCCACCACCACCACCA